TTGATTTGGGGGTTAGATAAAAAATAACTTCGCAGTCAAATGTAAGGAACTTTCTCTTGTTAGATATTTCCTTAGTTGAAAAGTCATGTGCTGTGTTATCGGCCGTCAGAGCTGTGGCATGTTATTCATTATACATGCAGAATATAACAGTGCTTCATTCCTTTATACCTGGGGCAAGCCCGCCTAAAGAACATAACTCTCACCGTTTATATGCGGATCTAATTGTTTTTAATGACCACACAATTTTTCTGCGGTATTTAAAGGGATGAGTCAAAGTCAATTTTGGGCCAAACTCCTTTGCATATTCACTATGTAAATTTATATTACCCTGTCTTACTGGCTTGATAATTGTATTAATATAATTCAAATTAAATGAGCTGCCTTACTCTTCAATTTTCAAAGAATTCTAACAGTATAGCCGCTGTACACAAATAAAACAATTAGCAAATTTATAATTACAAAATGCTCGAGGTTTTTAGGTATAAACAACACCCACTTTTTATTTTCAATGCTATTTTTGTACTGTATTTTACTCCTTTCTAAAACTTTGTTCTTTCACATTTCTCTAGTTGGCAACTTTCTCAAACAAATTTTATAAACTGATTATTTATATAAAGGTTTTCAACTATAAACTTCTTGGTTAAACTATATCATTTAGCAAAAACCACGGCGCCTTAGCTAAAGGCGCAGTAGTTATGTCGCACTTGGAAACGAGGGCGGGATCGCCGTTTGGCGTAGGCCCAGTACCCTTATAATGATCTCTGAATATTTAGGTAAGGGACAAAAAATGTTCATGCCGTTGAAGATTAAGGGCGACGGCCGTCAGCATGTTTTTCTCTTCTGCGCAAATAAAGAAGCACCAATAACATCACCAAGCTGAAGACGTTAACGTGGTAGGACGGGTGCCTTTTACAACGGACTAATCATTTCATCGTAAGAGTAAAGGTCGAAATCGAGTATAACGGTTGGCTGGTAGAGGAACTTAGCTTGTAGAGAGCGAAAATAGCAGAGATGAAAAAAGAGTATCTTGCGGTACTGCGAATGGAGCTGCACCCACTTAAACCTGAAGTCTCTGCCGTTTAAAGTACGACTCGAATACAAATTATAGGTCGGGTGGGATTGCCAAAAAATTTGCTTTACAAGCTCTCATGGTTTACTCGGCCCTCTTCACATCAAGAAAGCCAGATTTAGTGGATCTTTTATATCTAAAGGCTTATTTCCTTCATTCAATTAGGCGAAGAAGTTGTTGGGCCGTTAAATGTTTATTCGGGAGTTTACTAAGATTTAATCTCTAATAGACAGTTATAGGGCATCAGCTGTTTTAGCCTAAAAGATTCTTGGACTTAAGGGCGGGGGGGGGGGAGGATCATAACAGTAGAGGAACTTGAGACGAAGTGGGGAAGCAAATGAGAAGAGAAGAGTTTTGCTTTCTATCATCGCTTTAAGCTATGATATTGCCGTTGCACAATGATGACAATAATGTATACGCAAAATATTATTAGTAAGTTTGCAGGAGACTTTCTTCGTGCACAAACTAAACGTAAAGATAAAGAGACTGCAACTCAAAAAAACCCTATCTTCATATAATAATTTGTGCAGATGCTCGGTAAAATGAAGTGTTCACTGCTTAATCTGCTAATAACTTAAATTATTATGAATAATTCTTATTTAGTTTAGCGATTCCTTCATTAATTTTTATATTTATAGGTAGATTTATACAAACAAAATAATGTGCGCTTAAACTCATCGCGAACAGTCGAAATCATGAGCTTACCAAGTTCGTTTGGCAATTCTTAAGCCCAATGGTAATGTGGATATTTACTTGACACGTTCTTAAGAAAGGATAATTTTATTTTTAAAATTATCTTCGAGCCGTTCTGGACAGCAGGTCATTGTGCGACGTGTCCCTGCGCGTGAAATAAGATGCACCATTGTGCAATATTTATCTCGTTTTTACTATCTGTGTTTGTTGACTGATAAACTTTAGACTTTGTTTTGTAACTATATAAGTGTAAGGGTCCTTGGGGATGTATGTCACTCAAAATAGAAATAGTATTATTAAGTCATGAAAATGTATAGATTACATTATTAATAATTTGGAATGAATGAAGCGAAGTCGTCGAGGAATATTGCTATTATGGATACTGATGACAGTCAACGTGCATATTTGCCTATTACACCTTGCAGAGAGTTGATTGGTTTCCCTGCTCTACACCGTGTCTAGGCCCGATAATCGTTGGCTGTGGGTTAGTGTTCAAGAAAGGCAATAAGCCCACAGGAGCAGACTTAATTTTAGCCAAAAATATCAAAAGATACCTTGTCAAAACTAAACATTATATACAATATATTATAATAGTCAACAATATTTTGTGTGCTAGAAGGTTATAATGATAGCGACTATGCCAGTTGAAAGGAAACAGGGCGTAGCTCGACAGGATATATTAACTCCTCAATAGTGTGCTCATTACTTGGAAATAAGCCTTGCAGGAACCACGGTCTTGTCAACAATAGGGTTGAATTGAGGGCTATCTGTGAATCGACCATAGACTTTTTAAGGAAGTTCTTGCCGTCGACCACATCGTAAAAATAAGAGTGGATAAACAGCCTGCTGTTAGATCTGCAATAACCCGAACATAGTGAGAGATCCAAACATATAGCTATTCACTACTTTTAGGGTAGGTGAGAACCTCAAAAAATGCAGTTAGTAAGTTTAATATTCTTAGAAGTTAACAATCTTTCTGATCTCGTAACTAAAGTTCGTCCGACCCTCAACTTTGTAAAGTAAACTTAAAATCTTTTTATAATGGTGAGGGGTGTGTGTTAGTTTCATAACTTTTACGAATTATTTAGTTGATTCTGATTATTTCATGCTAATAAGCACGTGGCCAACCACTCCTGTAAATAACTTGATGTGTGCCTAATAAGAATGCTGTTCTCATCCATCTTTTGTTGTTTTGTTCGTGTATGGCTGTTATTACAATACATTTGTATTCATATAAGCTAAGTTAAGGGGGTTTAAATTGAACATTAAGGACATACTTTAAGGTAATAACTTAACCTGTACTCGTGCACTACTAAAAAGCGATCTGAGAGCTCTTGTATGCGAAGTTGTTAACTTAATCAAGAACCAGAAAACGTCGTTTATAAATAGTAAATCATAAAGAGCCACATCATGCTCATTATAAAAAAAAGAGATAAAAGCATAAATAAAAAAGTCTCTCTACTTAAAAGTTTCACCTCGGTATGATCACGTCAAATACCTCTGGGTTTACAAACTAAATTGAGAGGCCTTCACCACCTGATCTTTACAAAGCTAAATTTAGGCTAATAATGAGGTGTGCGTCAGTAGCTTGGCCTTCTAACACATATAGACAACTAATACCAAGCAACTTTGAAGAATGTTTATAGTTGCTCGGTATATGAGAACTATACTTAGCGCTTTACTAAAAACTGCCTAAAAGCATTTGGAGGTCTCTGTTATAAATCAACATTTCCTTTCTACTTTTAAACCTATTTACTTTCTTAAATTATGCGATCGAAACACTCCTAATGTATTGGACATCTTTAAAGGCAAAATTTATGTAAGAGAAATATAATATTGGCAAGAATATATTAGTGATACTATTAATAAAAATAATAACGCGTGTTCAAAATTTCTTCCAATTAGTCTAATTTAAACTTACGCTTGCAAGATTAGGATTTTAATTTCAGTTTACGCCTTTAGGCCACGCTTTTTTAGTTTAAGCCACTAACCCGTCTAGCTCTTTTGAGTAAACGACTTCACTCTCTATTTTAAAAATATTCTTGTAGAGAAATTGAAATTATATACTTTGTTAATAATTAAAAATATAAAAAGATGTATGCATAAAGACCAAAATAGGGACGGTCCACTTCGCCAATCGACTAGTAGATAGGTGCAGACGCACCAAGGGAATCCCCTGAGTATCAAAAACTGATTCTTGTAAACTGCCTTTCAAACATTAATTTAGGGTTAACCATTTCTAGGAACTGGATGCTTTTTCCGAGAAATATTCTAATCTTTAATATGTAGTAGATCAATGTGCACAGTAGTTCCATATATGGTAACAGTTCCGCTGTATCATGTATATGACCTATAATTGGGTTATTGGTTTTTTCAAAATTTTAAACCTATTGGCCCTAGGGAGCGAAGTCTTAACCACGCACAAGCAGGAGCGCAAGCGGTAAGATTAGAAGCTCAAAGAACGACAGAATTAATAGAATAATTATTATCATTTCAATGCATTTATAAAATGGATATAGCTGCACCCCCCTATATTAAATATAAGTAATTATTTAATTTAAAAAAATTATATTCTATTGGGAAAAACAAATTACATTTAATAGTAGAATCTATAAACTGTGGGAAAGATAAAAGCTAAATAGAATTCAATTATTCAGCATAGCAAGCATGATTTTAAGGTAATAACTATAGACTGTAATTTATCAATTTTTAAAAAAAAAGGACTTGACTCAAACATTTAATTAAAGAACGGGAAGAATTCGCCTGATAACAGATAGCGCTATACTATAAAGTTATATCGCAATACATAAAAGTTACAGTTAGAACATATAATATACTGGTTGAACCTTACTACGCACTTTAAATACGAAAGTAATGAGAAATGAGAACTTCAAGCGCTTAAATGTCTATGCTCTTAGTTCTCGTCTAATATGAAATCTCTTTATTGCGACTTGAGTCTAAAACTCTTTTGACGAGGGCACGGATGCAGTCGCAGTGTTGAGACGAAAGTAGTTATTTTGTATTAAGCTTGAGTTTACAATTTAATAAAGGGTCTTTTAAATTAGTTACTCTTATTGTGATACTTTTATCATACTTTTAATTCCTTTTAAATTCGAAATGCTTTCGAGAATTAATTTTTACTGTTTCCTTGGATCCTTTTTTGAAATACGTCCAAATTTGGTTTTTAAGGTTTTGAAGAAAACTATTTCCACCAATTTGAATTCTAAATACCGGTCTAAGCGAAGTAATAAAAATCGACAACTTATCTCAAGTTCTTCAAATAAGAAAAGTTTTTTCTTTAAAAGACTTGGCCGTCAAGTTGTAGTAGTTGAGGGTGTACGAACTCCTTTTCAAATTTCTAGAACTGGGTCTATTGAATTTTTATCTTATATTCATTTCATAATATATTTTATGATTTACAAATACCTTTATCTATTTTATTTATTTACTGATTATTATTATAAAAGTTATAAGAATTTGCAAGCCCATGATTTGGCGCGAATGGCCATTTCAAGCCTTCTTAAAAAAACTCAAGTAGACAAGGATCTTCTTTCACAAGTTATTATAGGAACGACAATTCAAGAGATTAATGCAAGCAATGTAGCTCGCGAGGTTGTATACCTCTAGGATAGTATTATAAAGCTATACCTATAACAAAATCAGGCGGCCTTGAGGGCCAACCTACCTGAAACCGTGCATGCTCACACAGTTACTTCTGCTTGCATCTCGTCTCTTTCGGCCATTGACGCTGCTGTAAATGCAATAGCGCTCGGAAAAGCTGATGCCATCATAGCGGGCGGTTGTGAAACGTTTTCTGATGTACCGCTTGAGATAATATTTGTCTTAAGTTTTATGTTTTCGCTTGTTCATTATGTGATCCTGCACTTTCACTAAGTTATATGACTAACTTTTACAGGTCCCTATTAGACTTAGCCGTTCGTTAAGAGCAAAGTTGATAGGTACTACAATAAGCTTTATTCGTTAATTTATTTTTCTTTGTTTGGATTCCTCCAACTTGAGCTTGAGTTGTTTTTTATACTTATAACTATTGTGTTTTAGAGTTATGCAAAATGAAAGGAGTTGTTAATTGGTTATCCTGGCTCTGCTCTCTTGAATCGACCGATTTCAAGTTGGATATACCCGCAGTTAAAGAATTTTCTACAGGTTTTTGTTAAATAATTTGATGGGTATTTTGAATTTTACGAAACCTGTAAATAATGATATTTATACTCCACCTTAATGTCAACCCTCAAATTTTCTTGTAAATTTTAACCTTTTTATTATGTATTGAGGCAATTACTAGGTTGTGTTATTTAGACTTATTTGAGGAAGATTATAAACTATTAGTTTTTGGCCTTTATTCGTTTTTTAAGGAAGTATTCAAGTTTTTTATTAACAGATCATTTTATTATACAAGAATTTTTTTAGCATGTTTTTATTATTATAAGTTTTATTATAAGTCTTATTATTTTTGTAGTCTGCTCTACTTATCTAACTTTTTATGGAGAAGTTTAAAATCGAATTTGCTGACTAAACTATTTTTAGGAGAGCTTCTAGGTGAATCGGCTGAACGTCTCTGCATTGCTTTCAACATTACTCGTCAAGAATCAGTAAATATATGTTTTTGGGGAACAAATAGCCGCAGTGGTATTTATTGCTATCCAATTTATAAGGATGCCTACGCGCTCCGTTCTCACAAACTTGCTCTGGATGCCAGTGCCTCTGGAAAGCTGCTGGACCGGACCCCCGTGCGTGTGCCGGGCGCCGTCAACTTTGTTTCTGAGGACAACGGTATCCGTCTGCTGCTCCGTCCTCTCTTCTCTTGGTACTTGCACTGCAGGAATACGAGTGAGCAACCCTGAAAAGCTCGCTGCTCATAAACCCTGCTTCCTTCGACCCCACGGCTCCGTAACTCCGGGAAACTCCTCCTTCTTCGTAGCTTCATACTCTATATTCTCGAACCATTTTAGGGCAAGTCTAAAGTAGACATTTTTTATGGCACGTAAGAAACTTAGATGATAGCGGAAGCTACTAATGTTAACTACATAACCACGAAGATTTTTAGTTAAAGCCTTTGCAAGGCGTGATGCTGTCCCTACCTCTTCCATATGTATATAAACACCTACAATATTTTTATTAGACTGATGGTGCCGCTGCCGCCTTACTTATGGCGGAAGAAACAGCTTTGACACTCGGCTATAAGCCGAAGGCGTACATACGAGAACTGGTATTTGTTTCACAGGACCCCGTCGATCAACTCTTGCTTGGACCTGCTTATGCCGTTACGTGCTGCTTATGTTGTGTGCTTACCCTTAAAAAGCTTTTCGGATGATAATTAAAATTATACTTTTTATTATATTTTAGACGCCGTTTGTTTATTGCCAGTTTTACCTAAAAATCCTCGTTATCTGCTTTAGATTCCTAAAGCCCTCTCATTGGCGGGGCTCGAACTTTCTGACATTGATGTTATTGAACTGCATGAAGCCTTTGCCGGGTGCACATCATCGAGTACTTCCCCCTTGCAGAGTCTTTGTAAAGTGCGTGTTGCTATCTAGGCAAGTTCTCGCCTGCTTGCGGGCTTTGGATAGCGAAATTTTCTGCCAACGTCACCTCCGGCGAAACCGACTAGGAGAAATTCCCATGGAAAAAGTCTTGATAATACTTTTCAACTTTACAACTTCAGTAATGCGCTCTACCAGCTTAATTTGCTAGGCGGATCGTTGTCTATAGGGCACCCCTTTGGCGCAACGGGTGTCCGTTTGCTGACTACTGTTGCTAATAGACTGCTCACCGAAGACGGGAGGTTGTCTGGTAAAAGCAGTATTTTCAATACAGTCTTTAACTTTGCCTCTAGACTTGGGCTTCTCTCCGTCTGCGCTGCAGGCGGGCAGGGTTGCTGCGCTATCCTCGAACGCTCCTCATAAACGGGACTGCTCATCTTTACGTTATTAAAAACATTTACCGCAGCTTTCTTTCTTTCTCTGCTTCTGTTTTCTTTAAAAAGGTTTAAAGTCTTGCTTTTACTTTTCTCTCTGGAAATCCGTTTTACCCGAAACATCCTTTCTTTTGAAATAGCCACGTCTTTAAAATATCTTCATATATTTAATAATTATGCTCTGTCTTTTTTATAAGCGTGCAGGATAAGTAGCCGCACAGTTTTTACAACCCCTCTAATTTTCTACCTAGTATGCCTAAAGAGGACAACTCCTACCGTTGTCTGTATAATTTCTCTATTATTGCTTTTCAGCTGTAAGGGCTCCTATTTTTTCGAAGTCGTAGCACAGAATTTATTTTGAACCGTACAGTAGAGAATTAAAAGAAAATGCAATAATGTACACATGCAATAATGTACACATTCACAGTTGTTTACGTAGAAAGGGATGTCCTGCCTTTTATATGAAACATGGAAGGTTCCAGACACATTTGTGCAGAAGCAAAAATTATAGAATTATGTATTATGAGGGATCCCGAAGTTATGTCGGATGTTTAGAAGCTAGTTTCCAGCAAAATACAATGAGATACTACAGACAATACTGGAAAATTTATCTGTTTGTTCGAAAGTAATTAATACAGATTTAAACCATTGTAAAGGCGGGTTGAGGTAACACAGACCCATGCTGAATATAAAGAAAATAAAATTGGTGTAATAATATAGTAGACACATACAAGAACTCTTAAAATAACAAGTAGGTTACTGCCTAATCTTCACAATTTATAAATGGAAAAGTCAATTAGAAAAAGAATGACCTAAGATACGTATGGACCCTGGCCTATGTAATAAAGGTTAAGCAGTAAAAATGAGCTATAGTTTAGGGTTTTTCTACTACATTGCAGATATAGTGTAGTTCAATAAACCTGCTACCTCTTTTTATATCAATTTTATTGTTATAAGCGCTACAGTCAAACTCGAGAGACTAGGCGAGTAGGAGCCCTAACTAAGTATAGTGTCACCTGATGGTGTTTTAATATTTCCATTTATATTTTTAAAGGACTAGAGAATGTGAATGCAGTTCATTTGTGCAACCATATGTAAATAACTAACTAAATATGGTAATATCTTCAACTAATTGAAGTTAAAAAAAAACTTTTAATATTAAAGTCATTAAAAAAGAAAAAAGTAAACCAACTTTTAACGATGGATCTCTTGGATTGCGCAAAGAAGGAGGAAGACAGAAATAAGTAGCGTGAACAGCATACGTGAATCATCTAATCTTTGACGGTGCCTTTTTTATAAGTTTGCCAGGAGCATACTTGTTTGTGTATCAGTCTATAAAAATGTTAAGAACTGGTCACTTTCTAAAAATTTAAGGTTGTTACACGAGGTGTATATAATGTGAGAGGTTGAACAATGGATGGCATATGGTATGTTGAACCACATCCCTTAGTGATGAAATCTTATGTTAAAAAATTAAAGTTAGCCTAGTGTGAAGATTTTTATAAGAGTAAAGTAAAAATAACGTGCTCGTATAATAAAAACTTTATTACCAAAACTATTCTCGTCGTTCTTTTAAAGTAAAAAGTTTCCATAAACTTTTAGTAGTATGAACGAAAGCGTCGTTTAATCAGGGATAATCTTTGAAAAAATTATTTTTTTTTCGTTAGATTTTAATTAATAATGCTTTCTAGCTATAATTTTTTTCATCACTTATTGCAAAGTTTTTTTTACTCAAAATATTATTAATGTAAGTTATTTTCATGTCTTCAGTAATTGTGGTAGACCCCTTTTTAAATTTCACCGTTTAGCTTACTATCACATTCTCTGTAATTCCATTTGACCTGCATTAAAAATTTTCTTTTTTTAAACATATTGCAATTCATATTATTATCCAATTGTGTCTGATAATAATTTTACGGTTTCTCTTATAAGTTTTTCAATGTTTAAAATTTAATTTATCTTTTGTGACTTAACACAAGTTTAGTTGCATTGATTGCACTAAAAGAGTTTAATAGTGTTTAATCTGCACTAACCTATACTCTGACTCCGACTAAAAGAGTAGAAACCAACAACCACCGGTAATCTAGTTCTTTATATTGTAAACCCCTCGACATTTCACACACAGTAGTATAGACTTTTTAATGATATAAATTACACTTTCGGACATTCATAAAATGGTTTATCCCAATCATAATTAAGCTTTTAAAATCCTTATTACTTACCAGCTTACCCAAAAAAGAAACATTCTACAACTTAAATTTTAGAGATCAGCTAAGTAAACTCTTTTTAAGCAAGATTTTACAGCTTTTACTGTAAACTTCAGGAGGTAACGAAGCCCATACAAACTTTCAGTATAGTCAAAATAACTTATAAATCACACGGTTTAAACATTTTCATTATATCAACAGCTAAATGCACCTAAGTTTTTTCAGCCCTTATCTATTAATCTAGGTTTTTCCTTAGAATAAAGAATTTTTTCCTAAAACGCTGGCATAATTCATATTTAGTGACAATTATCTTTTAAGCCTCAAATGTAATACTGTCACTCCCCAGATATTTAATTTTTTTTTCTACTTGTCCACATGTTTCACAGTCGAACCATGACCAGATGGGAAAGTATTAACTATAAACCCTCTATAATATTTACCTTACTATGCATGTAACCGCAAAAAAGAGGAAGAGCGACCTTTTTATTGTTTCCCTAGAGGGACGGGTTTATATCTTAGGGGGAGAAACAGAGTTAATTTACATAAAGGATAGAAAACAAAAAACGTGGTTTAAAAACGTACTAATTCACGTAAAGTTAATTCCAACAGTATTTATTGTAATAACCAATAAATACTGCTTTTTATATGTGCTTAATTCTATCAATATTCCATATTAAAAAAAAAACTCCTATAAGTTCTTACTGTTCACTTATGGCTTAAGTAATTGTGTTTAGTTATATATACTCATTAGCTTAATAAAGGACCAAGCAACAGCTAAATCCTATCTATATGTTATGCTCTATCTTATTTGAGCTTAACTAAATTGTGTTTAATGCTGGTGTCGATCAGAAGAGTTGTGCCTTATCAATTATTAATATGATTCACGCTTATTTATTAATAACTTTATGACACCATTTACTTAATTTTCTTCCTCGTCATCTTACACCCAAGTTTCACATTAGATTTAACAGCTTACCTAACAGGAACAGTAACAACAGCACAATGAATAGGACTGTTACACTAATATTAAAGAACATTAAGGTACCAATTGCTTACCTTTAAAGCTATTTTAAATACTTGAGCCAGGTTATTCTTTATTTAGAATCCCAAGCTAATAAGTTTAATCTTAGGGGTGTCCTCCTCTTATTAAAAATAGCGAGCGCGAAGTACTTTCTTAAGTGCGCGCCTATTTCTTCTCGAGTGGTGGTTCTTTGCATTACAATATATGCTAAACAGTTTTTTGTTTCTGGCTGTCATACTTATAATCCTCATTTGGGGTCCTGATCCCACCACTCATGCTCTTAAGAGCAACATACATACGCATATCTTTTAAACTCTTTAAGAACCGTATGGTTTCTTTCCAGAAATTATTAGTTACTTTTAAAAAATTTACTTTAAGTAGCTTCTCACATCATGCATAAATATGAGGTCTTTGCTATTTTTCGGAGCTCAACCATTCATTTGACTTATTTTTCAGCTTGACTCAAGGTGCTTCCCTTATAATACGCTCCTTATATCTGGAAGTACCTTTTAAATCATATATATTTTTAGAGGATTGGGCTCCACAGTTCAAGGCAGTTAAGGGCTCTAATTATGTTCAAAATTAAAAACGAATGCTTATTTTTCTCTACGCATTTAAAGGATAACGTGTGAAGACGGCTTCCTACTTTGCTTGGTTTTTTTTCGATTTGTAACAATATTATTTTTATAATTCTCCGTTTTAAACAAGATCTTCACGTCCTCAACTAAGTTATAAGGAACATCATTTATTGGTACCTTACCTATCTCGATTTATTGATAGGAAGCCTAACCGATATTGAAATTATAGTCCAAATTTTACCTCATTTCAAAGATCTGGTAATAATTATTTTTTCCGAGCACATTGATAGATGCAATTTAAACCTAAGGGTACGAGGTGTCTTAAATAAACGGCTAACACATAGATATCACTTACCATCACCTAAAGGGTGAGTTAAATGAACTGTGACTTAATACACGACTTTAAAGCGGCAGGGGCCCTATGATGATAATAAAGCGCGCTAAAAGTTACAAAACATAAAAAAATAAAAGAATGATAAGAGCATGAAACAGACTAGCATATAATATAAAAAATTAGTAATATAGGAATACAAGGATAAGAACAAGTTGGGGATAAAGATAAGAAGGTTAAAACAAAAACAAATATTAAATATAGATATGTAAGACGGGCTTAACTAAAAAGTATTTAACAAGATCGAGGCGCTCTTCACCGGGCGCAACCCTACTTTCAAGACTTGACCCCCCATGTAAAAGAAATGCGAAGTTTAAGGTAATATGCACAAAAGTAACAGTGATGATGACGACTTTTATATTTATAATAAATATATCAACCCAACTAAGATAATAATAAACAAAAATTTATTAATGAATGTCACAATAATAATACTATAAATGCTAAACATATTATTAGTGATATATAAATAGTAACAGTAGTACTATAGATTGTAATTATAAAATAACATTAACCAAGTAATATTTTTGACTAAAAGATTTTTAAAAGACTCGAAAACATATTAAAAACAATTGGAACTCATTAGTTAGAGCATTAATTAAACAAATGACTAAATGAAAGATGGTGCTTTAATTGATCTTTAAGCTATTGCACGCTCTTCGTGGGGATTATTGTCACAAAAGATTGCTGGTTAACAAATTTTGATGCTTTGTACGTTTACAAAGTTCCCATAAATTATATCAGTTGCCCAGATATTTCGTGATATATAATGCTCCTTAAGATAAAATTTTTATAATCAAATTCCTATAAAAGCTGT